CCTGGCAGGCCCGCAGGCCGCAGCCTTCGGAACGCGGAGGCTCGGGCCGTCAGGACCCGGGTCCGACCGGCGGTCCTGGCCCCCGATCTCCGGCCAGCAGACCTCTCCCCACCCTCGGTGGTGCCCACTCCTCAGCAGGGGCAACCTGCGGCCGCGGGGGGCCCACGGGGCCGGGCGTCAGGCTCCAGCGTGGATCCCAGCCCCGCGCTCCCACCTTTTGCGCCCGGGTGTCATCTTCCGCCTGGACCTCGAACTCGCCGTCCTCCGAGTCGCTGCTGCGGGCGTGGGAGGCCGCGTCCCGGCGCTTCCGGAGCCCCTTCTTCTTCCTCCGTTGGGCCATGGCAGGTCGGGACCGCGGTCGGGCCGCCGGGCGCGTCCCAGCAGCCATGCGGACCCGGCGCCGGAGAACGGAAGGGGCGGAGCCAGAGGGAACGTACCACTGCGCGGCGGGGGCGGGGGTGGAGGCGGGGAACGGGGCACGGTGTCTGCCCGGCACGGGCCGCGCTCCCCCCCTGCCGCAGCCCCAGAGGCTGGGCGCGCCCACAGTGCCCCCCTGCCCTGCGCGAGAGGCCCCGCTCCAAGGCTGTGGGGAACCCGGGGCGTCCGGACCTGGGCGCCCCCCCGGACGCGAATGGTTCCGGCCGCCGGACGCCGGCTGGTTGCTGCGGGTGGGCGCGCGGAGTGCACGTCGCCGGGGCCCGGCTGTCCCCGGGAGTCGGTCCGCGCGGTGCTCGGGGTGGGGACCCGGGGCGACCTAAGCGGCCGGGGTTCCAGGATTCCGGACCCCGGATAAACGGATCCCGAATGCGCCGCGCGCCGCGGGTGCCCGGGCGCCCCCACAGAAGAGTCCAGCCTACGGAGAGGGGGCTCCGATGGTTGTAGCCGACCTCCAGGAGCCAAGATACTCGGTAAGAAATAATTCAAAAATGCAGGGTCGCATAACCCCTGACACAGACAATAGTGCGGTAAAGGCCGTGGGGCGGGGCCGGGGCGGAGTGGAGGGGACAGTGCGGGGGGTGGGGGGGAGAGGTATTGTAATACTTTCCACAATAATGATAAACTTAAAAAATAAAAGAATGCAGGATCCTCGGACATTAATTTGGAGATGGGGCATGTGGGGCAGTTGGGGGGGGGGGGTGACCCCCCTGAAGTAGAATGGTTAAGTGCATAAGCCCTGGACTCCTGCCAGGTTCACATTTTGCTTCCTCTGTTTTCGCTTTCTAAGTGTGACTGACACATGTGACGTCACCGTTTGAAGCTCCAGTTTTGTCATCTGTAGACATAAAGCTGCTTCACGGAACTGATGAGAGGATTCAGGGAGACGGTGCTTCTGAAGCTGTTTGCAGGAGGTAGGCGTGAGAGTGAAACTGGGTATTTCCTGCTCCGTAAATACATATGCAGGACTCAGAGGCCTGGCCTGCCTTCCCCGCACACCACAGTTTGTTTTGTGGTTGGTGCCAAAATGGACACAAGCCCCATCATCCCTCCTTCATCCCTCTAGCATTCTGTAAATATTTATCCAGTACACACTGTATGCTAGGAATGCGTATTCACTCAAAATGTGCCTGTAGCAGCACCCCTCTCCCCATCAAAAAAGTCCAACACATTTCCGGAATGTCCCCCGAGGTTGGCAGTCACCCTTCGAGGAGGACCGCTTGACCCTTTTGCCCTTGGGATGGGGACTCCCAGTCTTTCTCCGGTGGCACTGCCGGTGACAGAGGGATGGCACCCTGACCCCCTTTCTCAGGGAGCTCTGGAGGCATGGCCTGCTGGGCAGCGCATGCCTGCGGTCACCCGGGACCACGGGCAGCATGAGGACCCCGGTGGAGCGGGCCGTCGGCGGGATGCAGACCCTCCGCCCTCAGCACCGCTGCCGGGGCGGCTATCAGGTCAAGGCCAGGGCGTCGTACGTGGACGAGACCTTGTTCGGCAGCCCTTCGGGCCCCCGGCCCGCACCGCCAGACTTTGACCCACCCTGGGTGGAGGAGGCCGACAGAACCAAAGGAGTGGGCAGAGCGGCTCCACGGGCTTCGGGGGCCAATGGGAGCTGTGGGACCCCCTCCTCCAGGGGCAGCACCCCGACCCTCACGCCAAGGAAGAAGAACAAATACAGGTAACGGCACCGGGAGACGCACTCCTGCACTCGGCATTGCCACCCAGGTTCCTCTTAGAGCCCCGCTGGTCACGTGCTGTGTGACCCTGGGCAAGCCCCTTGCCCTCTCTGAGCTATAATTTCCTCCTGTGGAAAGTGGATTTAGTGGTTTTACTGAGAGGATTAAATGAGATGAGGCGTGTACTGTGCTGGGCACAGTAACCTGACCCTTAAGGAAGCTCTTGGTAGATAATAGTGAGGCTGGCACCTGAGGCCCAGAGAGGTCAGGGTTGGCCCAAGGGTACAGAGCAGTTTGCATGAGATTATTGGTGTGGTTGATCCATGAAATGACATAGATTTGCTGGTTTCAGATTTCATTTTGAAAAGATTTCTTGCTGCATTTTCATGAACAAGTTAGAAAACCAGGAGCTGATGCTACTGGTTATTATCAGATTAGAGTTAGGTTATTGGGATTATTTCAGATTAATGTCGTCCGGAAGGAGGTATCTAGTAGTGGACCTCAGGGTTCCTTCGTGTGTTTGGACAAAGACACAGGAGACTGGTGTTGTGTTTTGATTATGGCTGCCATAACAAAGTACCATAGACGTAGGGGGCTTACATAACCGGGGCTCAAACTATCGTTGGGATTCTGTCTTCATCTTAGTGCAGCTTTCCCTCACACGTTACAGGTAAGATGCTACCATCTGCTTTGCCCTTGCATACGCCAGCTTTTCAAGGTCAGGAGGGAGAAAAACATCTTTCGAGTAGTTACAGCAAAGGTTTTTTTGTTTTTGTTTTGTTTTTAATATATTTTATTGATTTTTTACAGAGAGGAAGGGAGAGAGATAGAGAGCTAGAAACGTCTATGAGAGAGAAACATCGACCAGCTGCCTCCTGCACACCCCCCACTGGGGATGTGCCCACAACCAATGTACATGCCCTTGACCAGAATCGAACCTGGGACCTCTCAGTCCGCAGACCAACGCTCTACCACTGAGCCAAACCTGTTTCGGCAGCAAAGGTCTTAAGGCAGACTCTGATTGGACAGAATGGACCAGATGACCATTCCTGAGCCAATCAGTGTGGCCAGAGGAGTGAAATATGCAAATTGACCAGGCCTGGGGCACATGCCAAGGAATCGGGAGACTGGATGCTAGGTAGAGGCGAAATAGCAGAGATGGAGGTAGTGGTACATGAAGGGGCTGTGGCCTCACTGGGTGCCAGGCTGGGAGACAGGGACTTCCGGGGATCTACTGGCAACCCTCTCTACTGCTGCCGGTGCCTGGTGGGGGTGGGGTGGCGTGGGTGGGTGTTCAGGTTGTAAGGTTTATTCACTCACTTCGTTTCCCTTCCCTTTGCCAGACTGATCAGCCACACTCCTTCTTACTGTGATGAGTCACTATTTGGCTCCCGACCCGTGGGCGCCTGCTGGGAGGCCCCGTGGATGGTGAAGGGGGGTGCTTCAAAACTCCACACGCTCTTCTGGACACCCCCAGCCACCCCGAGGGGCCACCCGCCCCACCCCAGGGAGACCCCAGAGCGCACCGTTCACCCGTCCGCTCCCACGAAGACAGAGCCCAGGGAGGGGTCCGAGGCTGAGAAGGTGTCCAAGGTTGGATTAGACCCTCCACGCTCTCCGAGGCGGGAGCGTGCCCATTCCCTCACCCACCTGAGTGCCCCCAGCACTGGCCGCCCACCCACCGGGGGCCCCCACGCGAGTGGGCCTCGGGTTCCCAGGCCTTCCCCCTCGGGGGTGACCTTCCGGAGCCCGCTGGTGACTCCCCGGGCTCGGGCAGTCAGCGCTTCAGTGCCAGCGACGTGCCAGCGAGGGGGTGCCACCCCCAGACCAAAGCCCCCTTGGAAATGAGGTTCCCGGTCCTTTCATCAGGTTTGCCCTTGGGGTCGCAGCAAGGGGAGGAGTTTCAGAGGATGGCATGGGCGGGGAGGGGGAGAGCTTCTGGGGAGACCCCCCAGGCGTCAGCGAGGCACTCAGGGTGGCAGGCATGGAGGGTGGTCAGGGACGCCCTCTGTCCTGACAACCTCTGCTTCCCTGCTGCCCCCACAACGTGGACTTGAGGGCCACCCCTTGAGATATCTGTTCTAGTCCCGTCAGAGCCACATGCAGTATCAGTGCCAACCCAGGGATGCCCCCCATCACTCCCACACGTTGTCTTGCCGCCAAGTATGAATAAATGGTGGGTCGCCAATCTGGAGGGTTCTCTCGCCCCCACCCCCACCCCCAACCTCCCTTCAAGCCAAACGTCCTGCTCAGGATGAGTTTCCAGCCGAGTCTGGAGGCCTCCGAGTTTTCCCTGGCACCGTGTCTGGGTGCTATGAGGGTGGGCTTTTTCTTTTAATGATCATGTATTTATTTTCACGTATTAAATGTGTCAGTAGCTCACCAAAGCCGTGGCTTAATAAATTTTTTTCCCCTAGGGGAAAAGCCGGTGTTAGGCCTGCGTTGGGGTTAAGTAACGATACTGACACAACAAGGAAGCCGCAGAAATTGTGACAGTGGCGAGTGGGGGCCTGAAGTCCGGGCCTGAAGTCCCGGAACCCAGGCCTCCAGCCCCACTGGGGCCTCCTCCGTCAGCTTCAGCTGCTGCCACTAACCATGGGGAGCTGCAGCTCAGCTCAGCTCAGCTCCGGAAGAGCCCTGGGAACCTGGTTGGTGAGATTTTTCCAGAAAAGGCAGGAAGCTGGATTTGTGTGTGAGGGTCCCCGATTTTTTTTTTTTAAATACCTTAAGTCCCAGCAGTGAATTTTAAAAAGATACATTGTCCAACTACCTGGACACCGCATAAAGCCTGTGGCGGCTGCTGGCCTGTGATCTTGGGGCTCTGAGCTCACAGCGCTGTGCGGGAGAGGCTGTGGGCCAATGGGCAGCCCCGGAGCGGGGCTGAGGGCAGGGAAGCCGGTGCTGCCGGAGCGCTGCCTGCCCTCACCCTCCCCTCCGTGGGCAGCCCTGGACACCACGTGTCCATCGTGGCCTTGGCAGCTTCCGGTCTGGGAGCAAAGAGGAATGGTTAGTGCTGACACCCTGCACGCTCCCCTCCTGGGGACGGCGTTTACAGGCACGGACACCCACGGCCAACCACCCTGGGTCAAAGGCTTATTCACAGGAAGTGGTTTGAAATGGCTTTTAATTCTGAAAAAGGTAGGAGAGCCATGATGGCGGGGCTTCCTGGTCCCGGGGGCCTCCCGGCCGGCACTCTGGGAGGGGGCGGTGCAGGGGATCAGAGCAGGGCCGGGGGCGGGGCTCATTTCTTGCCCTTGCCCTTGCCCTTGCCCTTCTCGCCCTTGCCCTTGCCCTTGCCCCGTTTCTTCCTCTTGGACCGGAGCAGGGAGCGGACCAGGTAGCCCTTCCACACGGCCTGGATGAGCGTGGCCGCCTTCACCATGCGCATCATGTCCTGCTCGGCCTCCATCCTCTTCTTGGAGTTGATCTCCCGCTCCTCCCGGATCTGGGAGAACTCCTCCACCAGCACCTCGTACCGCGTCTGCAGCTCCTTCAGCTGGATCTTCTCCTCCTTGTGGATGATGTCCAGCTCCTCGTACTCCTCCTGCGGAGGGAGGGCCGGTCAGTGGGCTCCCCGGGCATCGGGCGGCCTGCCCGGCCCTCAGCACGCACCCCATCCTTCCCACGGGGGCTTCCGGGCCAGCAAGGCCGCCTGCTTGAGGCTTTCTGCCTCCGAGGCCCGGGAGAGAGTGCCAGGGGCGTGAGCTCCATCCTGGTGCGAGGTGGGACCCGGGAAAGATCACCGCTTGTGGTTGGCCAGACTGAGTCCAAGTCCCAGCTCAGCCACGCCGTACAAGCCTTCGTTTTTCCTCGTCCGAAACACCGTGACAATTGCAAACGCAGGAAGGGGTGGGTGGGAGCCGTTTCCAGGATTAAGTGACACAGGACGACGGACACAATTGCTGGATGCAGGTGCCAGGCACGCGTGGGGACGGAAAAAATGCAGGCGGCTGCCGCTGAGGCCGTCCGTGTCACAAAGCTTGAGTGGGACTTCCTCAGGGAACTCAGTCCCACGGCTCTTCCTTATGCCTAACTCCAGCCTCTCCTGCTGTAGCTCACACCTCCCTCCCTCTCACGTTTGCCAGCCTCCCCAGGGCCCCCTCCCCGGAGCTCTCATGGTCGGACAGCCAGGCCCCGATTTGCCCTTCCCTGAGCAGCACGCTCCAGTGCCCATCAGGCTTCCTGGCCCCACAGCCAGGGCCGTGGGCCACCGAGGTTACCACGGAGCTGGTGGGGGGCTTGAGGGCACCCCATATGGTAGGCACATCCTGCAGGCCAGACCCAGTGCGGGACACAAGCTTTGGCGACAGTGGTGCCTCACTGGCTGCGTGCTGCCCGACCTGGGGATGACCACCCCGCTGATCACGCAGAAATGGGCCCAGGAAGGCCACGCCCACAGCTTAGGGCCCACAGCCTGTGAGTGACAGCGGAGAACCTCCAAGTGGCCACAGGCCTTTCTCACTGCCGGGTCCCAGCACCTGGCAAGCGGCGGGCATGCAGAAGGAGCTTTCTGCGTGGCACAGGGACGTGGCGGAGGCAAGCTCACGCCCGAGTCCACTGGGGATGAGCCCTGGCCTGGGTGCCCGCTGGAGCAGAGAGTACGGGATGTGGACGCTAGAGGGAGCCAGGGTCACAGCTTCTGGGTCTGTCCCTTCCCACCCCTCGCTGCCCCAGGCCAGACAAACCCTGGCGCCCAGGGAAGGAGCAGGGAGGCCCGGAACTTGGCCAAGACCACAGACCATCCTGGGGCCTCTCTTCCCATCCCCACTCCTAGAGGATTGTGGGAAATACACTTGAGAGAGATTTATGCAGCAACAAATACCTGCTTTTCGGTCATCTCCGTGTCGTATTTCTGGATCCAGTTCTCGATTTCCGTCTCCACTTTATATTTCTTCTAAAAAAAAAAAAAAAAGAAAAAATCCAGTTAGTATTTACAATAAACAATGCCAAGCAGGCTCCGAACCAGCCGGCCCTCTGGTGGGTGCCTTCCATGCCTCGCCTATGGATCCACACGAGGTGGGTCCTCCATTTCACAGATGGGTAAACTGAGGGTCAGCCGTACTCGCTCCCTTGCCCAAGGCCATAGAGCTGGTGAGTGTTGGAGCTCCGTTTGAGGCCAGCAGTCTGGCTCCAGAACATTCTAAGCAGAGGGAGCCGCAGATGCAAAGACCCCGGGATGGGAGCAAGCTTGTGGTGTTTCTAGAGCAGAGGTCAAGCCAGTGTGGCTGGAATGGAGGGCCCCGGAGCGTGGACCCTGGGAGGGCAGAGTGGGACGCTGCGTGGCAGTGGCAGCGGGAGTGGCAGCAGGGGGCAGAGCTTGGGTTCTAGTGTAAGGGGGCGGGGAAGCTATTGGGTAGCTTTAGATGGGGTAGAGCAGTGTTTCCCAAACTTGTGACATATGTGTACCCCTTCTATAATTTCCGTAACGCTGAGTGCCCCTCGTCTTCATGAAAACGCAGAATTAGGCGCAGCTAAGCACGGTGCAGTGCATATCCCCACCACACTCCAGTGCAACGCGTACCACACTTTGGGAAACACTGCGGTAGAGGGTCATGATCTAATTTTGCTTTTTAAAAGAGATCAGCTCCACCCTAGCTGGTTTGGCTCAGTGGATAGAGCATCAGCGTGAGGACTGAAGCGTCCTAGGTTCGATTCTGCTCAAGGGCACATGCCTGGGTCTCATTAGGGGACATGCAGGAGGCGGCCAATGATTCTCTCTCATCGTTGATGTTTCTATCTCTCTTTCCCTCTCCCTTCCTCTCTGAAATCAATAAAGATTTTTTTAATAAAAAAAAATAAAAGAAATCAGCTCTCATCCATACAATGGAACGTTATTCAGCCATAAAAAGGAATGAAGTACTGTTACACATTACATCATGGATGAACCTTGAAAACATGATGTTGAGTGAAAGGAGCCAGACAAGAAAGGCCACAGGTTTTATGATTCTTTCTGTATGAAACGCCCGGAATAGGCAAGTCCCTAGAGATAGAGAGGAGGTCAGTGGTTTTAGGGTGCCAGGGAAGGAGTGGGAGAGACTGTAATGGGTGTGAAGTTTTATTTTGGAGCGATGGGTGTGGGGGTTTATTTTGGAGCGATGGGTGTGGGGTTTTATTTTGGAGCGATGGAAATGTCTGGAACAAGACCAAGGCGTGGCTGCACAGCACTGTGAGTGTGTTAAATGCCACTGAACTGTTCGCTTTAAAACAATGAATTCCATGCTTTGTGAATTTCACCTCAGTTTAAAAATAACAAACCAGCTCCCTAATCCTACAGAGCAAGAATTCTTAACTGGGCAGCACAGCGGGGCCTGTGTCCCCCAACGGTTGCCCACCAGTGTAGATTTGATGGGGGAGAGGCCCGGGGCTTCCGTCAGGTGCTCAGAAGAGTGAAGACACTAAAGTGAAACCGGGAACAAGTACCGGAAAAGGTGTGCTTCATCGGGAGAGGGACTCTGAAACCCACACTCGAGTGCGAAGTGGGCCTGGGGCCTGGCTGAGACGATGGAGAAGGCACGGGGGAATGGTATGTACTGAGCACCAATTCTGCACCAGCCCTCTGCCTGTCATTTAATTCTTGTTAAGACTGAGTTGATCACGTTCATTTTAAAGATGTGAAAACAGGCTCACATGCTCCTCGTGTTCCCTTGCCCGGTATTGACAGGTAGGTTCCATCATCCCCTCAGGGAGGGGGGGGCGGGGACGAGGGAACCTGCCTGAGATCTCAGAGGGGGCGTGCGGCAGCGGGACGGGCACCCTCCTGCCTCCCAGGGGGCACTGGCTCCACGCTGGGCTTCCTAGTGGCTGGGGCAGCCCTGCCCTCCATGCTGGACCCTGTCCCCAGCTCGATGCCGCCCCAGGGCACCTTCCGGAGCGCCTGCTCGGCCTCCCGGTTCTCCATGACCAGGCTGTGGAACTGCGAGCGCAGCTGCAGGATGTCCTGCTGGATCCTGGCCACGCGGGACTGCGAGGCCCGGTAGTCCGCCTTCTGCTGCTTCTCCGCCTCCTGCTTGGTGCGCGTCAGGCTGTTCTCCGAGAACTTGAGCACCTGGTGCAGGTGGTTCTTCAGCTCCTGGATCACAAAGTTCTCCTTCTCCACCTGGGCCCGGGAGAGGAGAGGCCGAGTCAGAACCCACGTGACCACGGCTCGGCGCAGACGCCAGCCATTGCCGTGCCATCGCCTCGCCGAGTCCTGCCCCAGCGCCGTGGGCACAGGGACAGCCTGATGCCAGACGAGGAAACTGAGGCTGAAGGGGCCAACTCATCTGTCCAGGGTGGTGCAGCTGAGCCGGCATTCGAAGCCAGGTCTGTCTGACCCGGAGCCCAGGTTCCTGGCCACCCCCTTTATTTCCTGGCATGAATGGAGGGCAGGAGAGAGGGCTAGGACAGGGGGACACTCCTGCTGGGGGCACAGTGGGGGTGCCCAGTTGGCAGAGACACAGATGCAGGAAAGTGTGATGGACACGCCCCACAGGACAGCCACCTGCTCCCCCTGTAGGCCTGGCTTGTCCTGCCTTCAGTTGATTCAAAAACAGGGACAGCCCTGGCCTTTTGGCTCAGTGGATAGAGCATCGGCCTGTGGACTGAAGGTTCCTGGTTTGATTCCGGTCAAGGGCACATGCCTGGGGTGTGGGCTGGATCCCCAGTAGGGGCGTGCAGGAGGCAGCCGATCAGTGATGTTTCTATCTCTCCCTCTCCCTTCCTCTCTGAAATCAGTAATATATTTTTTAAAAATAGGGATGGGGTGGAGGACCTGGCTGTTTTATATTTAAACTCGAAAGGCTGATCCCAAGCCTTACCAATAACGCAGTCGGTTAACATATTTTTCCTGTCATCTGTGCTACATACTGTATTCTTACAAGAGAGAAAGCTAGACAGGAGGCAATGTGGTTAAGGAAATCCTAAGGAAAGAAAACCCACGCATAAGTGGGCTTGTGCAGCTTCAAGCTGTGTTGTTCATGGGCCAACTGCATTAACATGGGACCTATGGTTATTATTAGGTCCGGATCGTTTCCTTCCTTCCTTTTTTTTTTTTTTTTTTTTTTTAATCTTTATTGTTGAAAGTATTACATATGTCTGTAGAGAGCGCCTGGGAGGCACGTGGGCATTCTTTAATTATTGTCAGCTGAACCCAGTGGCCTTGGCAAAGCCACACCCTGGAAACATGCTTTGCCAAAAGGCAAGGGTGTTGTCAGCTTGACCTTCATTTTGATACGTAAATCCACTCGAAGGACCAATTAAAAAAAAAAAAAAAGATGTAAATCCAGGCTAGCACTGGGAATGCTCCGGTCCACCGGAGCTCCTTTATCTTAAGTTTTGGGGAAACTTCCTGATTTGTGGGGGGTAAAATAAACAGGCTGCTAGGCTCTGGGTCACTGTCTCTCCACCAGAAGAGGGCAGCGGTCCCACTGGTCCCAGCTTTTTCCTTCCATTTTGTGTCTTGCTTTTTCTTTCATATTTCTCAATCCCCAGCCCCTCTCCTGGAAGAACTGGATCATTCTCTTTCCATGCTGGACACGGAAAAGAGAGACCCTGCCATATATGACCCCTTTTTGCCCCATTGACCCCTTCTACTCCAGGGGTCAAGACCCCAGGCCTTCACCGCCCTATGGTCTGTGTCCATGGGTTATGCATATGTGCCTACAAGTTCTTCAGTTGATCTCTTCCCACCCACCCACCCATTTTCCCTCTTAAACATTTTATTAGCGCTTTCACCCCTCCCACCTGCCCCTTGCCCCGAGGACAAAGACCACATCCCTTGATTAGGCCTCAAACCCCAACCCCGAATGATCTGCCCCTTGCCCCTCTTTCCCCTTCCCTTCTGCTTACTGGCAGGTTTGGGTTCCTAGGTACACCCCCCGCCCCCCCCACACCCACACCCACACACACCCTGGAACAGGGGTCTGCAAACAAAGGCTCCCAGGCCAAATTGGGCTGCCTGCCTGTATTTGTAAATAAAGTTTTATTGGAACATAGACTATTCATTTATGGATTGCTTATGGCTGCTTTTACACTGGGGATTCAGTTGAGTTCAGCAGTTGCAACAGAGACAGGCCCTCCAAACACGAAGTGTTGACTGTGCAACCCTTTGTGGAAAGTTTGCCTGCCCCTGGCCAGGAAGTCGTCCCTGCCTCACCTGTCTGCCTCACGCCCTCTTGTTCTTCGGGTCTTGGTTTCACCGTCCTGGACCCTTTGGGTGTGAGTTCAGCTCTCCTATAACCCTCTCTTACAGCACCTCAGACCTACCCTCCATATTGCATGTCTCCCAACTGTAATTAGCCTGGCTGGCGCGCCTCAGTGGTTGAGCGTCGACCTATGAACCAGGAGGTCAGGGTTCGATTCCCAGTCAGGGCACAATCCTGGGCTGTGAGCTCGGTCCCCTGCAGGAGGCAGCAGATCCATGATTCTCATCATTCATGTTTCTATCTCTCTCTCCCTCTCCCTTCCTCTCTGAAATCAATTTAGAAATATATTTTTAAAAACCTGTAATTAAATCAGCTCTTTAAGTCCTATCTTCCTTACTGTGAACTCCATGAGGCTGGGACCATATGGACTTAATTATTGATATAAACCTGGCCCTTCATAAGTACTCAAAACCATATTCATGGTATAAAGGAATGAAAGCATCTACTTAAATCCCCGGGGGCGGGGGGGGGGGGGGGGGGGACCCAAGCCAGGAGGTCTGGGCTCCCGGTGGGGCTCCTTCCAGAACCCGCCCCGTGCAGGAAGCGGTACCTCCGCGGCCCTGTTCCTCATCCTCTCGGCCAGCTCGTTCTCCAGCGCGTCGATGACCTCCTGGTTCCGCATGTTCCGCTTGGTGATGTCCTGGATGAACTGGCCCTTGTCCCTGGCCTCCATGGGGCTGGTGAGCAGCTTCTCAAACAGGAAGCCGCGGAGCTCCACCAGGCTGTCCACGAAGCCCTGGGCTCCCGGGGCCCGGTCCGCCGCCCGCGCCCGCAGGAGCTGGGCCGCCCTCGGGTTGCCCAGCAGGAGCCGCAGGATGTTCTTGGTGGAGTCCCGGATCTGCCCCATGAGCGGCAGGAGGTTGGACTTCTGCAGCTCGATGGACAGGAGGAGGTCTCGGAACCAGGCCTCCTCCTCGAACTCCTCCTCGGCCTGCAGCTGCAGCTCCTCCTCCTGCAGGTAGCGGACCTTGTTCATGAGCACCTGGCACAGGTCCTCGTGCTCCCGCACCGCCCGGCTCAGCTCCTCGCCCAGCAGGCCCTCCAGCTCCATGTTGGCTGCCACGGAGGACAGCAGCGTCACTAGCTCCACCTTTTGGATGGTCTCGTCCAGCACGGACATGATCCTCTTGGTCTCGATGGTGGTGAGCTTGGTCTTCAAGGGGGTGAAGGGTTTTGGCGTGGGAGTTCCCTTTTTGGGCGACTCTGCCATCACCCTCATTTTGCTGATATCCGAGCTCTGGTAGAGGGCGCCCACGGCCAGGATGTCTAGTGCCATGTTGCAGGCAGCCTTCTCGGTCTCGGTGGGCCCTGGGAGACTTGGACAGACTGGACAGGTCTCCTGCCTCTGTTTTCCTGAAAAAGGAAGGGGCGCGCCGTTAGGAGAGCTGTGCAGAGGTCAACCATAAACTTGGCCTTGAGGGTTCACCGTAGGCGCTCTGCAGCTTGTGCACGGAACCCTCACCAACAGCGGTTGGTAGCTTTGTGACAGCGTCAGGGCCACAGGGGTAGGAGGGCCACGTGTGGAGGTGGGTCTTGGGCACAGGTGTCAGGCAGGGACCAACCAGGGATGTGGACAACTTTCTGAGTATTTAAGGACAGAAAACTGGTAACACAGGTGATGGAGGAGCTGAGGGGTCAACCAGGGCAAGGGGAAGTCGCCCCTAGCCAGCCCCCCAGCAGCAATGGTTAAATTGTTGGTGGCATGCCAAAACCGGTTTGGCTCAGTGGATAGAGGATTGGCCTGCGGACTGAGAGGTCCCGGGTTCGATTCCGGTCAAGGGCATGTACATTGGTTGCGGGCACGTCCCCAGTAGGGGGTGTGCAGCTGGTCGATGTTTCTCATTGATGTTTCTAGCTCTCTATCCCTCTCCCTTCCTCTCTGTAAAAAATCAATAAAATATATATTTAAAAAAATAATAATAAAATTGTTGGTGGCGGGAAGCCACCCCAGGAGGAGGTGGGGAACTTCGGGATTGGGGTCAGCCAGCGGGGGGCAGAACCCCAGCCGTTTCCTCTCCGGGAGAGGCTGCAGTTCCAGAGGGCCTGTAAGGAGGGAGAAGTACTCCGGCTTCTCCCTTCATCCTGCCCTCCAGTCCAACACCAGTGCCTCCCATTGGTCAAGCCCAGTGAGGAACCAGCTGAAAAGGGAGCCTGGGCAAGGCAGCCTGCTGGGGAGGGTGAGGGAGGGGAGAACAGCCCAAGACACAGAGCAGAACAGGGACAGAGCAAACAGGACTGGGACCAGCACAGCCCACTTGTGCTGGCTGGGTTTTTAAGCCAGGGTGGGATGGACAATGACTTTGAAATGTATTGTTTAAAAAAAAAAAAAAATGGCTTTGCTACATGCAACCCTGGATCCCGGACTGAATTCTGAAAGGGAAACAAGGACATTAGTAAGAAAACTGGTGAAATCCAACTCAAGTGGACACTTTGGTCAATAGCACTGCATCAGTGTTAGCGTCTTAGCTTGGACAAACATAACACGCTTATGTAAGATGTTAACAGTAGGGGGAGCCAGTGGAGGGCGGACGGGAATTTCTGTATTATCTTTGCAAGTTTTCTGGAAAGCTACAGCTGTTGCAGAATAAAACGCCTATTTATAAGACCGCTTCAGAAAAAGCCTACGGGGGCAACCAGAAATCAAGAACTGACATTGCTGCATGGCGTGATGACTAAGAGCTCTCTCTGCTGCAGCCCCATGTAGGCTCAGGTCCTTGCTGGCGGACCCTGGGCTTTTATCTAATTCCCCTAAGCCCCCGGCTTCATCGGCCATAAGACGGGGATCTTCAGCTTCTGGGGGATGTTTCTGGCACGGGGCCTGGACATTGGGAGTGCTCAATAAATAATAACTAATATTATTAGCCCAGGGAAACCAACCGAAACCCCAAGTCCAGGACCGCGATGATTTCCCAGTTAAGAATCTCAGCCTCAATGGAGATCCAGAAGTCTCTGATGAACCTGGGCTCCCAGCATAAAGCACCTAAGACACCCCCCAACCCCCGCCACGTGCCCATCCCTCACCCTGCTCCTTCTTTTCTTTTCTTTTTAAAAAAATATATATTTTATTGATTTTTTACAGAGAGGAACAAAGAGAGATAGAGAGTTAGAAACATCGATGAGAGAGAAACATCGATCAGCTGCCTCTTGCACACCCCCCACTGGGGATGTGCCCTCAACCAAGATATATGCCCTTTGACTGGAATCGAACCCGGGACCCTTCAGTCCACAGGCTGACGCTCTATCCACTGAGCCAAACCGGTTTCGGCACTCTGCTTCTTCTTTATCCCTTGTCCTGATGATCAGCCATCCTAGTTGCTCCAGTCAGAAACCTGAGTGGTCCCCCCTCCCCCCACTCTTCCTTCCCCACACACCCGATCTGCCCCCACTTCCATCAGTGATCTCTCCTCGACAGCTCCCTCTTCCACATCCCCCCTTTCAGCAGCCGCTCTGTCACCAGGGCCCTTATGATCTCCGGCTTAGATGATGAAACAGCTGCTCAGCTGGTCGGCTCACATCTGCTGCTGCCCCCTGCAATAAAGATCATCCCTGTAGAGATCTAGTCTGGTCTTGTCTGCGCCCCCTGGGGACATGAAGGCCATGCCAAGCTCTGTCCTGCCAGAGCTTATGACCTGGTGTGGGAGCTGAAACATGCATGCATGAAGGCCAACAACTAGAGGAGGAAGAGAATAGAGGTGCGGTCACAGAATAGGATGGGATCGCGCCTGCCTTCGACACCAGTCCGGGGACTTGATCTGGCAGGACTTTGGGATCCATTTTGATGGCAGGAAACGTGACAGAGAGACCTGTTGTATGGATGATTTATAGGGAAAGGACTGGTGGCCAGCTGGTAAGTTGAGATACTATAAACCTCCCACCGCAGGGCCTTTGCACATGCTGTTTCTTTTTCTTGCAATGCGCCCCCCCACCCCCTCTCTCTTGCCAACTTAATTCCTTATTCTCAGTTCCTGTGTCACTTCTTCAGCGAAGCCTCTCCCGGGCTTCCAGCCTTGGTTGAATTCTCATTTCAGGTTATCACAGTGCCGAGCCCCTGGTAGCAGGCTTGCTCGCCTATACCGTGCAGGCCGGAAACACTGCCCTTCTTCTCGGCCTCCCTCACAGCGAGGGGCAGCTGGGGACACAGTTCACGCCCATGACAATCAGAAGAAGGAACCAACAGGGCTTGAGGAGCCAAAGACAGCTCCGGGTTTGGGTGACGGGGAGAGAATTTCGGGGCCCTTGAGTCACTAGGGAAGCTGGGAGAGGCCGTGTAAACTCCGTGAGTTCCAGCGGCCACAACCAGTGCAGACCATGGACAGGACGTCCTGGCCTTCCTGTGATCGTTTCCTCTTTGTCAGGCGACAGCCCCGTTTCCCTTTCGGCACTCAGATCCTCTCTTCTGCCGGGTGCAGTCCCGGTGGGGCTGCTGATCAGAGAGCCCTGCTTTCTTCCTCCGGGGAATTCCGAGGGCCACGCGGGCGGGCGGGAGACGGTGACGGCTGATGCCTGCCGGTGGTGGGTTCTGAGGACCCTGCCGCCAAGATCCCCAGAACCCCCGCAGCCGCAGTCCTCTCAGACTCCGGTTCTCCAGCTTTTCCGTCACCGTTCACCGTTTGCTTAGCCGGGGCCAGTCTCTGTGGCTTGCGACCAAAGGACCCTAGCTGACAACGCGGTCTAGGTCACTGACTGCACAGGATGGAGCAGGCTCCAGGGATGTAAAGGCGAAGGAGGAGGAAGAGTAAACAGAGAGCAGGGGTGGGGATCAAAGAAAAGCCGGAAATGACGAAAACAAGGATCAAGGTGGCCAGTTCAGCCAAACCGGTTTGGCTCAGTAGAGAGTGTCGGCCTGCAGACTGAAGGGTCCCGGGTTCGATTCTGGGCAAGGGCATGTGCCTTAGTTGCAGCTGATCGATGTTTCTCTCTTCTTTTTCTTTTTTTTAATTTTTAAAAATTATTATCTGTGTATATATCTTACCGTTGCCCCCCCATACATTCCGATGTTTCTCTCTCATTGAGGTTTCTAACTCTCTATCCCTCCCCCCTCCTCTCTGTAAAAAAAAAAAACACAAAAAAAATCAATAAAATATATATATTTTTAAAAAGGTAGCCAGTTCGGGTGCTGAGGCCGGGCCAGAGGGATCCCAGAAGCCTCAGGGAGCTGAGCACCGAATGGAGGAGAAAGTAAATTATATAAATTTCATCCCCACCCATTTCCTGCTTTTCCTTCAATGTCCTGAGTTCCTCTAGGGCTGTTCCTAAGGATAACTTTTTTTTTTTTAATATATTTTATTGATTTTTTTACAGAGAGGAAGGGAGAGAGATGGAGAGCTAGAAACATCGATGAGAGAGAGTCATCTATCAGCTGCCTCTTGCACGCCTCCTACTGGGGATGTGCCCGCAACCAACGTACATGCCCCTGACCGGAATCAAACCTGGGACCCTTCAGTCCGCAGGGCCACGCTCTATCCACTGAGCCAAACCGGTTTCGGCCTGAGGATAACCTTCTAAGGACAGCCAGGGACCGTCCTCTCGGGGGATGGAGGCTCAGTGGCCCTCAGCCACAGGATGAATGGGACTAAAACAGTTAATGAATGCACTTCTTCCCCCTCTTACCCACCCCCCTTTTCCTCCCCCGCCCCCCCCAAACCTGCAGGCATAAATCAAAACGCCCAAATTCTTCGGGGATGGCGGCTGGAAATGCAACGTTACATGAAATGTTTCCAATTTGCTTTCAGCCAAATTACCTCTTTTGCTTTAAAGGGCAAACTTGTTTTCTTTGATTATGATGACGCCCATCAGTTCCTGACAGCTCATTTGGGCGAACAAGAAAAAGCCTGCGGAGCTGGGATGGGGGGAAGCGCGTCTGACTGCGATGACAAGAATCACCAGAGAATCTCTTTTCCTCGAATTCTAATATGACCGTTCCGTGTCCTTTTTTTTAATGCCACCAACCTTAATATTGAAATAATTTCCTACTTCGGCCTCTCCTTTGAAAATTCCTGCCCCGAGAGTTGAAGCGAGATTGCTAATGGGTGGGGAACTTTAATTGGATCTTCCCTTTATTTGTCATTAATTCTGCTGATGAACTTTACAAATGGAAATATATCTTTATCATGCAAATGATACCTCGGCTTCATTCAATAGGGGCTGGTTAGACATTTTATTACTCTCACTCTCAGAACGTTTTGAAAGGGGAAAAAAATGAGGTAAATTATATATATTTTTCCCCTCAGGAGGAAAAGGGGAAGAAAATTTAACCTTACAACTAACCCCACAGATTTAACACTGGTTTGTGGAGAAGTCAGAGGGTGATAAAAAAAAATATATATTCTGGAAGCTTAGTGGTTGAGCATCAACCTATGAACCAGATCACAGTTCGATTCCCAGACAGAAGGCAAGCGAGGGACTAAATTATTGAAGCTTCGAATCATCTCTCATTGATTTTTATAATGTGCGTCAATCATTTGTATACTTTGGAACTTTTTAAAATATATATATATATATTATTGATTTTTCACAGGGAGGAAGAGAAAGGGATAGAGAGTTAGAAACATCGATCAGCTGCCTCTTGCACACTCCCTAATGGGGATGTGCCCACAACCAAGGTATATACCCTTGACTGGAATCGAACCTGGGACCCTTCAGTCTGCAGGGCGACACTGTATCCACTGAGCCAAACCAGCTTGGGCTACTTTGAAACTTATTCTCAACTAATTACCAAGACACACCTTATAACTGATCACACGACAGGGCAGCGTGGATGTCCCACCACGTGGGTCAGGTAACAGGCCCTCGTCAGTTCTAGCGCAGCGTTGCCCAAATCTCTCTGTAGCAGGCCGCCTTTGGATGTCTGCCAAATCTATAGGCCACGTTGTACTATCAGCAACCTAATTTTTTTAAAGTATACTTTTGTTCTTAAGTACTTGTCATTAAAAAGAAAACTTGATATCTCCTCTGCAACTGGAACATCTGTATCACTTCCTTAAGGAGAAGATAATGTCTACATCCTGATATTCACTCTAGCTAGAAACTATTAGTGATAGAACAATGAGTCCAGACCAGATCTCTTGTTAAAAAGCAAGGCCTGCACTGGCTAGTGTTGGTTGAGCATCGTCTCAAGCGCTGAAAGGTCACTGGTTCAATTTCTGGTCAGGGCACATACCTAGGTTTTGCAGGTTCAATACCTGGCTGGGGCATGGACAGGAGGCAACTGATCGAAGTTTCTCTCTCACATCAATGTTTCTCTCTCTTTCTCTCTCTCTCTCTCTCTCTCTCTCTCTCTCTCTCTCTCTCTCTCTCTCTCTCTCTCTCTCTCTTTCTCTCTCATCAATAAAAACAGCCCAGCCAGAGGAGAACTAGTTTAGATCCACTAAACTAGTCACCATTCTCCAGTTTCCTCCTCCTTATAAATTAATTCATCGTGATTTTTAATCCCTCTTTTGATGAAAGTGTAGTTTTAGGAATGTTTATTTCCAGTTACATCCAACTGTGGAAAGGAACATTTCGGTGTTGCAGACAGAAGGAATAATTTCCTAGTAAGGAGTTGAGAACCCTTCTAAAATAAACTTCTCCTACTTAAAATTAAAAAAAAAAAATTATAACCTTATAAAATGCAAAACACTGGGCTTTTCCTGGCTGACAGATTATGTTGAAGAAGTGTCTTTTTTAAACCAAGGGTTGTGCCCCTTTAGTGAGTGAAATCAATTCACTAAAAGTAAATGAAAGACGTCCAAGCCGATTTGGCTCAGTGGATAGAGTGTCAGCCTGTGGACTAAAGGGTCCCAGGTTCGATTCTGGCCAAGGGCACATGCCCAGGTTGCTGGCTCACTCCCCAGTGGGGAGGGTGTAGGAGGCAGCCAATCAGTGATTCTCTCTCATCATTGATGTTTCTATCTCTCCCTTCCTCTCTGAAATATATATATGTTAGAGTGCACTATATGGAGTAAATACTCATTTGTAATTAAACATATCTGCTGGGTCAGGAAGGAGAATGTATTTCTTTGATTTGTGGTTAAAAAGAAAAACCTGTGCTGGAAAGCCCTCGTGTTAAAGGCATTGGATTGGCTCCTAGGATACAACCTGCTGCTATTATATGAGAGCACATCCCTGACCTCCACCTACTCCATGCCAGTAGCCCACCTCCCACGGCCAGTTTCTGACCAATGGGAGACAGTGCCTGCAGATATTGCCAAATGCCCCTGGGGGCGGAGTGTGGTGTGGGGGTGCTCCTGGTTGAGGACCTCAAAGGCCTTGCTCTGCTGTAAACCCCCCACCTCCCGTCACAGGTCTGGTGCTCCATCCAGGCTCAGAGGAAGTCTGTCCCAGCTCTGTCTGACAAGCTGACACCTGTGCCGTCCTGAGCCCCATCAGGGCCAAACCGGTGGATCGAGTGGATCGAGTGGCGGGGTGGATCGAGTGCTGGCCTGCAGACAAAAGGGTCCCAGGTTCCATTCTGGTCCAGGGCACGTGCCAAAGTTGCAGGCTCGATCCCCAGCCCTGGTTGGGGGTTGTGTGGGAGCCAACCAATCGGTGTGTCTCTCTCTCACATCGATGTTTCTCTCTGCGTCTCTCCCTCTCCCTTTCACTTTCTCTAGAAAGTCAATGGGAAAATATTCTTGAGTGAGGATTAACAACAATAACAAAATAAATTTATTTTAAAAAATTAAAATTAATAAAATAAAGCCACCCCAAATTACAGAATCAAGATCAGAGTCACAAACTGGTATTAGGAGACCTGGGTGCAAAACTCAAACCTATCAGAGGCTCTGGGAATAAGTCTGGGCGAGTCAGAGTCCCTTATCTGTCTGGCTCCGGGGGATACACCTGTCCCAGCCACATCAAAGGGAGCTGGCTGGTGGAGGGGGATGGTGTGGCACCTGGGAAAGCCCTTTGGGGAGTTAAAAGCCCTCTTCAAAGGGAAGTGTTATAATAAGCTCAGGCGTGAGTCAGGTGCTACATGGGCCTCATTGCTCCAGGGTCTTTTCTCCTGGGGAAAAAGGAAAGTGTGGGGGCACCTAGCAATGGAGCAGGCAGGGAAGACTAGCCCCTTTAATCCCGTCTTCCACTGCAAGTGAACAGGCCAAGCTAAAACTCTGGCATTTATGTCGGGCCACAGGTGCCTGGGACCATTCTGGACCGACACCTGGCCCAGAGCCAGGGTGGAGCTCTGTCTAGGATGCCCTGGGCAGCCCATCCAGCTTGGGGGAGAGGAGACTGACGCTAGGGCCCCGGCCCCAAAGCCTTTGTTACAGCTGCATTCTTTCCATCAAAAGGCTATTGAGGGCTTTCTAAGAGGTGTGTGACATCTTGCTTTCTACTAGCAAAGTCTCTATATTAGAATGCACTGCTTCTCACTCTCCACTCTCCCACCAAGTTCAGTCCTTGGCCGTTTGCCCTGGCCTGGCCTGGTTATGGTTCTCACTTCCTCTGGGTCACCTTACAGGGGAAATAGGGAACAAGAAAGTCCGATTGGATCTCTCTCCCCTCCCTTATTTATTGAGTTTAGATAGAGAAAGAGGGGAGAAAGAGAGAGACATCAATTTGTTGTTCCATTTATGTATGCATTCATTGCTTGCTTCGTGTATGGGCCTTGACTGGAGATTGAACCTGCAACCTTGGTGTAAGGGGAGGATGCTCTAACCAACTGAGCAACCGGGTCAGGGCAGGGAATTACGTTTCAAGTTAGCACAAAAGGCAAAAATTGGCACAATCAAAATGACCTAATATAAACACATTGAGATGCATTGCATTATACGCTTACCCTGAAATATATGGACCTTGCGTAGAATGGTAGGGGACTTATAAACTACTCTCTCGCCCCCAGCACTTGAAATTAGTTAACTACCATGTGATTCCACATTTCAGAGATGAGAAAACAGGACCATGGAGACGATAAGCGGAGGGACAGAGTACAGGCAGGGTCACGGAAGATGTCAAGGGCTGGAGAGCAGGGACCTGGGGCGGGGATGGGATCGCGATGAGGGTTCCTGATCCCTCAGAGAGCCAAAGGCTAGCAGGCTAGCCGCCTTTCCGCATTTCCCTCTCCTTCCCAGCCCTTCCCCACCTGGTCACTCACCTGCTCTGAGGGCTCCAGGTTTTCCTACCTGACGTTACCTGCGCAGGTATCTGCGTTGCTAGGTTACCCGCCAATCTCAGAAGGCGGGACTCGGAGCCTGATTGACTTTCCTTTTCACCACGCAATTCCGCTCAGTGCCACCCACTTCGGGGCCTGACTAATCAGAGGCACCGTCTCGCTGACCCTCCACCAATCGGAAGACACGGACTGCCTCTGAGAGAGGAGAGGGGAAAGGGGCGGAGCTTCTCAGTCCCTCCCCTTCTCTAGGAGGCGGGCAGGGGGTCTTGCGTCGGCAGTGGACGAGAACAGGGGAAGGACTTGAGGATTGGCCAATTAGAACTCATCACGGCAGCCTAGCTAGCGAATGGGCCGCGGCTAAGGAGGAAGGGGGCGGGGCCGGCGGGGTGGAGGGTAGGCGGCGGATGAGAGAGCTGGCGCAGCTGCTGTGGTGGCAGCGGCCAAAGTGGCGGCGGCGGCGGCTGCAACAACTCCGCGCTCGGGGCTGTGGCGGCGGCGGCGGCGGCGGCGGCGCCAGCAGGCTGGGCTGCACGGTGCCGAGCCCGGCGCGCGGTCCGGGCTGCTGGGGCGGCGCGTGTAAGAATCCGAGGGGGGCGGGGGATGGCGGAGGAGAGGGCAGGGGGCCGGGGGCAGAGGGCGCCGGCTGACGGGTTGCAGCTGGGCGCCGGAGTGCGGGCGGCGGGCCGGGCGAGCGGAGGGACTGCGGGGAAGTTTTCGCGCGCTTCTCCGTCCGGCCCAGGCTGGGGCTTTGCACCCTGTCTCCTGGTCCCCGATTTCCTGGGGCGAGCCCCGCTCTGGGGGGCCCTCCCGATCAGGGCTGAGAGCACGTGGAGCTGGAGCTCGCATTCCTCCTTCCTCCCCTGCCCCTCGTCCCTAAGGGGACCCCACAAGAGACTCCGGCCGGGTCAGGGAGCAGGGGCAGACGGCTGCTGGCCCTCTCCTGGGACCTGTTCCCGAGGGTGACCCTTCCTTCAGTGTCCTCCATAGAGAGAGAGGCCAAGCCCGCAGAAGGAGCCCTGGGCTAAGTCCCTTCCCCGCTCGGGTCTCCCTTTCCCCCTTAAAATGACGGGCTTGAGTGAGTTCCGATAGCAGGACTGGTTCCAGGAGGGGATGTCCCTATAGTCAGGCTGCCTGGGTGGGAAACTGGGCTCTGCACTCACTTCTTTGCTGTTGACTTAGAAGAGGCGGTTGAGTTAATGCCTCTAAACCTCAGTTTCGACATCTGTGAAATGGGTATTTCTCAACAACCATAGCACGATGGGAGGGCAGAATGTTTTTCATGGTCAAACCTGAGTGCAAGCTACAAGAACATTCATTACCATGCTCTCTCTCTTTTGAGTATGTTTGAAAATATCCGTGGTAAAGAAAAAAAAGAAAAAAAAAGAAAGAAAGAAAGAAAAAAAAAAAGTTGAAACAAAAGGAAAATAAATAAAATTCTTAAGATAGCCCAGTAGTAGTGTCTTGTTTGGGATTTCCTCTTCTGTCCAATACTGAGATTTTAAAAGCAAAAGAAATCCCCAGATCTGGAGCACACAGCAATAGGAATCTCACAGGGAGTTTGCCGGACAGACCGAGGAGAGCTACAGGCTTAGCAGCAGCCAGGAGAGCGGTGCTTGCTTTCGCTGCTTTGTCTTAAGAAGATGTGGGTGCCCGGGACCTGCTGGAGGGGGTCCTGATGGTCTGTGAGAGAAGCCAGGTGCGGGGTTGCCATTCTGCGGGTTAGTCTGGAGCCCGAGCTGACGGAGCCCGGGAGGCCACCGCCTGAGGAAGGAACCTGCTGCTGTTTTCCAGTTCAAAGGTCTGCCGTCAGATCTGCTGAGTCTGGGCTTTGCTTCTGGTCCTCCCCAGCGGAACTGGGAATGTGTATAAACAGGAACGGTAGCAGGCTGGTTCCGGGTGTCTTAAACTGGGAACTCGGGATGAGGGCTTTTGCTGTGTGGCTCGGGACATCACTTAAAAAAATGCCCGGGTCCTCTTTTCCTTCCTCCTCAAGCACCTAAGTCTAGGCCAGTGGTCGGCAAACTCAGTAGTCCACAGAGCCAAATAGCAACAGGACAACGATTGACATTTCTCTGGGGAGCCAAATTTTTTAAACTTCTTCTAACGCCACTTCTTCAAAATAGACTCGCCTAGGCCGTGGTATTTTGTGGAAGAGCCACACTCAAGGGGCCAAAGAGCCGCATGTGGCTTGTGAGCCGCAGTTTGCCAACCACTGGTCTAGGGTAATAATGCCTGTATAAGAGTGCCAGGCCCCGGCTGATTCCTCAGTGGTAAGAGCATCAGCCTGTGGACCCAAGGGTCTCGGGTTCGAGTCCCAGTGAAGAATGCATACCTTGGTTGCAGGTTCCTCAGCCCTGGTAGGGAACATGCAGGAGGCGACCAATCAATGGTTTTTTCTCTCCCCTCCCTCCTTCCTTTGCACTTTCTCTAAAAATCAATGGAGAAAATATTCTTGGGTGAGGATTTAAAAAAAAAAAAAAAGAATGCGATGGGCAAGTGTAAGTGACTTGGCACACAAATTTTTTCCAGGTCATTGGAGCTAAGTGCTGCCTAAATACCAGGGCTTGGACTTGGGGGAATTGTAGTGTAGTGGTTAGGAGCATAGGGCTGGAGTCCAACTGCATAGTTCAAAGCTGTGTGTTCTTGGACAAGTTACTTAACCTCTCTGAGCCTAAAGTCTCTCCCTTTGTTATGGAGGATAGTAATTCTATCTATCTCTCATGGAGTTTCAATCCGATTTACTTAAAAATTGCTAGGAGAGTCCCTGATACATATTAAGTATTCATCTAGTACGGTATTAACTACAATTACTTTAATGGTTATATATTTTTTAAGTCTTCAAAATCTTTATAAAACTCAAACACAAACAAGAACCAAAAGGGTGCAGGTGGAATATATTAGTCATAATCTTAATCTCCAGACATAATTACCATTAACTGCATATTTGTTCTTGCAGAGTTTTCCTCTCATTTAAAAAAAAAATACATTTTTATTGGTTTCAGAGAGGAAGGGAGAGGGAGAGAAAGATAGAATCATCAATGATGAGGGAGAAACACCTGCACACCTTTTACTGGGGATCGAGCCCACAACCCAGGCATGTGCCCTTGACCAGAATCGAACCCAGGACTCTTTGCAGGCTGACTATCCACTCAGCCAAACCAGTGAAGGCTCCTCTCATTTAAAAAAAAAAAGTATTTTATTGATTTTCTACAGGGAAGAAGGGAGAGGGATAGAGAGCTAGAAACACCAATGAGAGACAAACATGGATCAGCTGCCTCCCGCACAACCCCCATTGGGGATGTGCCCGCAACCAAGTGCCCTTGATCAAAATTGAACCTGGAATCTTTCAGTCCACAGACCAACGCTCTCTCCACTGAGCCAAACCGGTTAGGGCGGGCTGCTCTCATTTTTAATGCTATTTTATATTGCAGTACTCCATCCAGTGGTTTTTAGTGTTTTCCCAAGATTAAGCAACCATCACCACTATCTAACTGCAGAACATTTTCATCCGTGGTGGTTGTATTTTATTTTACTTATTTATTTTTAAAATATATTTTATTGATTTTTTACAGAGAGGAAGGGAGAGAGATGACAGTTAGGAACATCGATGAGAGAGAGACATCGATCAGCTGCTTCTTGCACACCCCCACCGGAGATGTGCCCGCAACCAAGGTACATGCCCTTGACCGGAATCGAACCCGGGACCTCCCAGTCCACAGGCCGACTCTCTAACCACTGAGCCAAACCTATTTCGGCAGTAGTGGTTGTATTTTAATGATTTTTTTTTTTTTAAATTCCCCAACCTCTAGATGATGCCCCAAATGGAGGAGTCTCTGAGAAGCATCTCTGGGCCAGAGGCTTTGAAAGGGAGCGCAGAGCAGAGACTCTTTACAGCCCTGGACATCACATCCTGAGGCCCGGCAGGAGAGAAGACCATGGCCATGAACTTGGATGACGACGTTCCCCTCATCCTGACCTTGGAGGAGGGCGGCAGCGCCCCACTGGCTCCTTCCAACAGCTTGGGCCAAGAGGAGCTGCCGGACAGAAGTAAGATGGTGGGGTGGACTGGGGGCGGGGGCTGGGGGGCCACTTCAGGGAGTGAGTTGTGGGCTTGATGGTCTGATTGTAGACCTGGTACCCGAGGGCCTGCCTCTGTGTCTGACCCCTAGGATCTGACACAAACTCCTGGGAGACTGCAGGGTCCTAATCCTGCACCCCAATTGAGGGATGCTTCCAGGAGCCCTTGCTTCCCCTCCCCTCCTCCCCCACTTTGCATCTGACTGGATGCTTGGTGGGGACCTCGGGCACACCTGCACCTTGGCTAGCTTCCCTGCCCCATTCCTGGTTAAAAAAAGAAACAGATTTCAGCTCCGGCCGTCTGTCCCACTCTGACACTGTTGGCAGAGGGCAGGCAGAGTTGACTGCTGCGCCCTGTTGGGGATCTGTCCCTGCGTGGCCCTGGATGGAGCCCCCCACCCCCACCCCCCCAGCCGCAAACATTTGTCGTGATCCATTGATTTGAGGATTTCCGGGTTTGCTTTGTCTTCCTCTCAACCGCAGCCTAGCCTAGCGCAAGGTGAACCCAAGAGAGCTTGTGAGCTTTAAATGTTTTAAAGTTTAAGTGTGTTTCTGGCAGAACGAGAAGCCTTAAAATCCTTCCTGGTGCTAGTCCCAAAGCCATTTGCTTTATTTGCTGGGGCCTCGGGTCTGCAAGAGGCTTAAAATAACTCGCCTTTTATGAACGGCCCTCAGACGGCAGGGACTCACGCTTTGGCAAATGGGCGTTTCCCCCGCCGGCCGTGCGCTGAGCCAGGATGTGCCTGGGCCAGGGCGGAGGGCTGCTGCTCTCCCTCGGTTCAGAAGTGGAGATACGTGGGTCCAGGTGAGGACCAGCCTGCCCTCCTCTCCCTCTTGTCCAGAGACGATGCAGCTGGTTGTGGGGAGCCCAGCAGGCGTCTCTTGGAAGGGATGGAGAGAGCTGTGTCCTGTGGACGGAGCGCAGGGGGCGGCCTGGCTCCCTCTGAACTGGCCTGTCTATGCTGTGGCCTGTTCACCCAGCTGGGGTGGCAGAGCTGGGTAGTCCAGGAGGCTTAGACTGCAAACCAGGGCTGAGAAACCAGACGCTGACTTCACGCACACTTCTTAAATGCCCTAGAGTAGGGGTGTCGAACTCAATCAGAGGGGGGGCCAAAATCTAAAATCCAGCCTAAATCGCGGGCCGAATGGTTTACTGAACAGTCATAAACTGTCATTGTGATGGAAACGCAGCGGAGTGCAGTGATGACAACGCGGTGCGGGCCACATTGCAAGGCCTGGCGGGACGGATTTGGCCCGCGGGCCTTGTGTTTGACACATGTGCCCTAGAACTTGCAGGCGTATGTTCAGCTCTTTCTTATCTCTTACCTTAACTAAAATCCTTTTGCAAGGATTTTATAGAGGAGGAACCAATGAGTCAGAGAGGGTAAGTAACTTGACTCATGCCACACAGCATGCAAGTGGTGGAGATGAGATTTGAACCCAAGACCATCTGACTCCAAAGTTTCTTCCCCCACTCCTCCTCCCTTTTTTCTTCTCTTCCTGCTCCTCCTGATTCTTTTCCTCCTCTTTTTTTTTTTTTTTTTTTTTTTTCCCTTCTGAAGCCCTTAATGAATGTGAGCACTGGCCTTTAGCATTTACATATATTATCTCATCAAATATCCTCAAGAATAGAGTCATTGTTATCTGTATTTTACAGAAGAAGAAACAGCCTCAGAGAGGTTAAGTAACTTGTCTAAGGTCACACAGCTAGTAAGGAGCAATGCTTCTCTGATCTTCCCTCTCATGCCAAGGTGTAAGGAGCTTTGGGAAAGGGGTGTGAATAAAGTGACACAGTCTCCACTTCAGAGGAGGACCCCCTCCTAGTGAGAGGTGGGCCATCCATGACCAACAAGGGAATGGACTGCCAGGGAGGTGGTTGATGCGCTAAGGGAGGGTTGGATCATTCTGGAAATAGGCTCAGGTTTCTAAATCGAAATCCCGATCATTGTCGTGGGTCCCTTTTAAGTTCTTCCAAGTATCAGAGCTGGTGGCAGGGTGTCCCGCTCTCCTGCAAGATCAAAGTGGGAGGAACAGCCTCGTTCTGTGTCAAGATCAGGTTTAAACCGATGATAGAGCTTGATGAGTAGGAAGTAGGCCAGAAAGACAAAGCTAACCTTGGATAGCCATTCGTGGGACTGTCCTTGTAACGAAGTTTTTCTTTCTTTCTTTCTTTCTTTCTTTCTTTCTTTCTTTCTTTTCTTCCTTTTTTTCTTTCTTTTTAAAATATATTTATTGATTTTTTTTACAGAGAGGAAGGGAAAGGGATAGAGAGTTAGAAACATCGATCAGCTGCCTCCTGCACACCTCCTACTGGGGATGTGCCTGCAACCAAGGTACATGCCCTTGACCAGAATTGAACCTGGGATCCTTTAGTCCGAATGCTCCATTCACTGAGCCAAACCGACTAGGGCTGTTTGTTTCTTTTTGATTTAATTTAATTTTTAAAATTTATTTTATTGATTTCAGGGAGGAAGGGAGAAGGGAAGAAAGATAAAAACATCAATGATGAGAGAGAATCATTGATCGGCTCCTGCACACACCCTACTGGGGGACCAAGCCCAAACCCTGGGCATGTGCCTTGACTGGGAATTGAACTGTGACCTCCTGGTTCATGGGTCGATGCTCAACCACTGAGCCACCATGGCTGGACTGGATTTGTTTGTCTTTTTTAAAAAATATATTTTTATTGATTTCAGAGAGGAAGGGAGAGGGAGTGAGAGACAAAAACATTAATGATGAGAGGAAATCATTGATGGCTGCTTCCTGCAGGCCCCCTACTGGGGATCGCACATGCAACCTGGTATGGGCCTTTGACAGAAAGCAAACCGGGACCCTTCAGTCTGCAGGCCAAAACTCTATCCGCTGAGCCAACCCAGCTAGGGCTGGATTTGTTTCTTAAAAAAGCATATACAAAATATAAAAGTGACAGGGTGCAGGGAAATGGGACTTTCTCCCCAGTGCCTTAGTGTCTCACCTTCTTACTGAGACATTGGCTAAAACCTCTAAGAAGGAGTGGATGTCCTGCACCAAGCCTGGCTGGGAAGGCAGCAGGGCCTGTCCGAGGGGGAAAAAGCCTTCAGATGAGGCCTGCTCTCCCCTCTGTTAGTTCATGTTCGGTCTCACAGTTTTGGAGGCTGGAAGTCTGAGATCAGGGGTCAGCAGGTTTGGTTTTCTCTGAGGCTTCTCTCTCTGGCTTACAGATTTTGGCATTGACCTTCTATCCAGCAACCCTCTTCCCTGTTGTCTGAGCATTCTGTCCACAACACAAATCCAGCCCGGCCATCTCCCCAGCTCGAAGCTCCCCGGGACCTCCTCATCCCCTGCGGGATGAAGGCCAAGCTCTAGGCCCAATACGAGGCCGTGGGTGTCCTAGCACCTTCTAACCTGATCTGCCCCATTTCCTGCCTCCGCCCACAACGTCGCACTGCTAGTTTGCGCATCCCGGCCGTGCATTCGGAAACCACCTTGCTGGCCCCTCACTGCGAATGCCTTCCCCGGCCTCCTGCTTGCTCAGAAGCTTCAGTCCTGCCTTGGAAATCCTGCTGAGACCTCTGAACCTCCCCTCTCAGGGCTAATGACTACCCTGTTCTGCTTCGGTGTCTCCACGAGGCTTCCATTATGACAAGTGGCTTACTGCGTGGTAATTACTTATTTAGCCATCTGATCACCTCGGAGGCCCTGCGTTCCATTCGTCTGTGCTATCACCGAGCTTGATGACCCAGTCAGCAAGTCGTGGTTACACCTCGTGGGGTTTCTGGCGCCTTGTCGCTCGTGGGAGTGGCTGTCTGGGGGTCCCACTCAGAGGTGGGCAGCAAGCATCCCTGTCCTCCTAACCAGGGGTCTGAGTCTCATTTCTCCCAGCAGAGCTGATGTTCTGTAGGCTGCCCCCATTGCCCCGGGCTGCGGCTCACGTAACCCTTGAGGTGGTAAGGAGCTGGCAGAATGCAGGCGGAGGTCTGTAGCGGAGTTGGCGCTCCCCGGGCACGAGGCACTGGGAACTAAACAGGCTTTCTAAGGGCGTGCGCCGCGGGTGAGCCTGGGCTCCGCCTTGACCAGCAGCTGTCGTCCATGGCTTCCTCTGGCTCCGTACCTACATATTCCTTGTCTTGGGCTGCTTGGGCTGCCACGACAAAATACCACAGAAGGCGGCAGGGGACCAGTAGAAAGTTATGGTCTCACAGTTTGGAGGCTGGAAGTCTGCGATCAGGGGATCAGCAGGTTTGGTTTCTTCTGAGGCTTCTCTCTCTGGCTTGCAGACGGCCGCCTTGTCACTGTTTGCTCACGTGTTCATCCTTTGCTCTGTGTCCTAATCTTTTCTTTTTTGGTTTTAAAGACGGCTTACAGATATTTCCCCCCTTAAAATTTTTTTTTTTTTTGATTTCAGAGAGGAAGGGAGAGGGAGAGAGAGGTAGAAATATCCATGATGAGAGAGAATCATTGATCGGTTGCCTTTACATGTCTCTTGCTGGGGATCAAGCCTGCAACCCGGGCCTGTGCCCTGACCAGGAATCGAACCGTAAGCTCCTGGTTCATAGGCTGATGCTCAACCACTGAGCCACACCAGCCGGGCCTAATCTTTCCTTATAAGGATACCAGTGAGATGGGGTTAGGCCCACCTCTATGCCCTCATTTCACCTTGACTACCTTTTTCAAGGCCCTGTCTTTAATACAGCTACCCCTGAGGTCCTAGGGGCTAGGGCTTCAACATAGGACTTGCAGGGGGACACGATTCAGCCCAGAACACTCTTGCCCTTTGCTTGGATGCAGATTCCCAGGACCCTGGCTGTGCTGCCAGTGCCCTTTGATCTTACCTGGAGGTGACCTATGATGGGAATTGCCCCTGCAGGAAACTGGATGGTTTGGGTTTTGGTTTTTTTTTCCATATATGGGCAAGAATGGATTTTATCCAAGACTCGGCCATCTCTGGGCTCTGCGGGAGCTGCCGAAATGCTAAGGAATGACGCACAGGC